AACTGGAGGGATGTTGTGTGGTACATGAGAAAATATTGTAGATTTTGATTGGCCATTGGGAAATATGCCTTCATGGTGACAACTGTCAGACACTTAAGGGAAAAGTGGGATCATGCTATCCTGGTCAGAAATGACCTTCCTCACAGGAGGGCCACTCTCTCTCCAATCTCTCAGTCCTGATCCTCAAGGGAAACTTACACACTTCCCAGAGACGAGCCTATGAGCTCCATTTCATCAACCTCCTGGATACTAGAGATCATGGACTAAACATACACATTGGATTTTTGATACATTATAATCTGCCTGGCAACTGACTCCCCAGCCCAGCCCAGCCCAGCCCCTGTCTTCTTTACTTTTCATTCCATCCAGGAGGAGCACACACCGACTGCTGAAACCTCCTTAGCCTGATGAAGGGTTTTTGAACCCGAAAGCTTGCTTAATAACTATTCGCCAACCATTTGGGTTGGTCTAATAGAAGATATCAAATTCACCCAAGGAACCTTGTCTGCCTTCCTCACTTAAGACATGCACCTTCATTTTTTTTTGTGGTGGGGAGAGTTGTGTGTAGTATACTAGAACATACGATAGATTTTGATTAGCCATTGGGAAATACACTTTCATGGTGAGAACAGTGGAATAGACACTCAGGGGAGTGGTAGGATTCCCTCTATCCCAGGCAGACATAACCTTTATCGCTTAATACATGCACCCCTGTTTGGGGTGAGGGGAGGGAGTGGCATGTGCTACACTAGAAAATATGGTACATTTTGATTGGCCATTGGGAAAAATACATTCAACAGTGGAATAGACCCTGAGGGAAGCTGTGAGATTCTTTTATCCCAGGCAGAAATTATCCAGCCCAGCATGGTCGCACCCAATGAGGCCACACCCACCAAAGCAAGTATCAAGCTTTATTGACACCAGCCAATGAGATGCTGGGTGGGGAGACCACCCCCACAAAGACCCAAAATACAAGGCAGACCTCCTCATTCCCATGTTTCCCTGCTACACAGGGTGGGGGTGGAGCAGGGGGTTACCCCCTCAAGGGTAGGGAGCACTGATTGGGTCTGGGGGATGGGGGGCAGGGCCTTTCCACCCTGTTCTAGGCCTCTTAAGAGGATTGGCTCTAGACTGGTATATGGGTTCTAGACTGCCAAACTCAATAGGATGCTGCAGCAGTTCCAGGTACCCCTTTGGCATGAGTCCTTTTGGACAATGCTCTCTGTTCATCGGGCACTGGTTGAGGTTGGCCTTTTCCCCAACAGCCTGTCTCTCAAAACCACAGCCTCCTCCCCCTCCCGCCTGGTGCCAGAAGTACCAGACCTCTTCTGGAGTGGCAAGATCTAGTTGCTACTGGTGCCCAGGGCCAGCAAGAGTGTCACTGCGGTCCCAGACCATGGCTGGCTCTGGGTTTTTATTGGCAGGGGGAAAAGGCTGCCTATCACACACATTCTAGGTACCTCTAATGACCAATGACCTCCATTGGGTTCTAGGTATGCTAACATCTTCTGAGCTACCGCTGTGTTGGCTCTGTGGAGCTCAAGAGGCCTGAAAGGATGTGGCGGGGTCTGGATTGGCTGTGCCACAGGAGTCTAGAAAGGTTGTTTCAGGATTCAGAGAAAAGATTTGGGGAGAGAAGGATCTAGAACAGTCTACAAGGTAGCAGATATCTGGAGACAGGTGGATCAAGGCCTAAAAATGTAACATCTAGGACCCAATGGTGAAGGCCAGTGGAGTTGCTCTCTCCATGGATGGAACGACTCAAGAACCAAGTCCAGAACCCAAGATGGCCTAGACAGGATGCCGCCCTCTTGACTCTGGAGATGATGCCTGTAGACTGAGGAGATCCAAATTTCCAATGCTGGGGTCTTGCCTTGGATGACCCAGATGTTCTAGACTCTCAGGATAAGCTCTAGAAGATGCAGCCTAGAACCCAAGGGACCTTTGCTTCCAGACCCTCCCCCAACCCAACTGCTGGGAGGACCTTCCGGATCAAACCACACATGAGCACGCCCTGGCGTCTTTCCTGCCCAGGAAACCGCTGCCTCTAGAACATTTTAGCTCACGCTGAGAGAGTAAGCCACCCTGAATTCCCCTCTTCTGTCTCCGTGGAGCATTAGCGCAGCAGATGCAAAGTGAATTAAAAAGCTATGCCCTCCCCTGCCCCTTCCTCCTCGCTTGGCATCATTAAGGACATTTGCATATGCATGAGCAACAAGCAGTGGATTGGAGGAGGGGTAATAACAAGGAAAGAGCCAGAAGGAGACTTGTATGGGAGAGGGAGGAACTTTTATCCCCTCCTGGGTGGGTGGAGTGAGGGATGGGTGGAAGGAAGGGATCTGTGAGGATGGATGAAAGGGGAGGATGGAGGGAGGGAGGAATGGGTGGAAAGAAAGGATCTGTGAGGAAGAATGGATGGAAGGGATTGGTGAGGATGGATGGAAGGAAAGGGAGGGTGAAGGGAGGGATGGGTGGATAGAAGGGATCTGTGAGGAAGGATGGATGGATGGAAGGGATTGGTGAGGATGGAAGGAAGGAAGAGTAGATGGATAGATCAATGGAGAGATATAGAGATGGGTAGATGGACGCTGTGGGTGGATAGATCGATGATAGATGGGCTGATGGATGGATGAATAGATGGGGAGAGTGGATGGATGGAGAGTGGATGGATGGATGGATGGAGATGGAAAGAGGTTGTGTTGAGTGGGTGGGTGAATGGAGAGGGAGAGGGGATGGATGGGTAGATAGAAGGGGTCTGTGAGGAAGGAAGGAAGGTGTGTTGGGTAATCAAGGGATGGAGGGATGGATGGATAGATAGGGTGAGGGGGTGGGTGGGATCTGGAAGGAAGGAAATCAAAGCCAGGAGATATCCAGGGGCCAACTCCATGCCCAGCAAAGGTCCCTCGCCACTGAACATCTGGAGAACTTGAACTAGATTCAAACCAGTCCCTCCCCTGATGTTTAGACAGCAGACCATGTCTGAGCCATGTCCATGGAAGACCAAAGCTATCAGCTGTCCATAGTTGCATCCAATGGTAGGAAGAACCAAACTGAAGTGACTCTGGATTGACACCAGCATGACGGAGCCACCCAGACTTCTCCGAAGACATCCAAGGAAGAGCTTCAAGGCACGGAATGTCAAAGTCGGAGAGCCCCGGCCTGCAGGGACTTGTCTATGGATGAGCGCTGATTTTGACCATGCTATCCTCAAACCAGAGTCATCAGGTGTCCATGGGCACCTCCAAGGGTGGGAAGAACTAAACTGAAGGGATTGCTTTGACCCCAGAACGATGGAGCCACCAAGACCTCTAGGGTAGATGAGATGTCCCAGGAAAATCTTATTTCAGTCAATCCGGAGTCAAACCAGAGTCACTCCAGAGCGCGCAGCCTTTCCACGACGTTTCCACGGTCAACCAATAACAATTCAGTCAACCACTGGCCATCAGGACAGCCACAGTGGAGAACGTAACAAGGCTCCTGGGTCATCTAGTCCATTTTGGAGGGGTCATGATGGACCAGATGGTGTTTAGGTATGGACACGAGACAGATCTGAATTTTTGGGTCAACCAGAGTCACTCCGGAGCACACAGCCCTTCCATGGTGGGCGTTACAGTGCGCGCAGCCCTTCCATGACAACCAATACCATATCAGTCAACCATTGGCCATCTAGTCCATCCTGGATGGGTCTGGATTTTTGGGCCAATCAGAGTCACTCCAGTTGGCTTTGACATGAAGACAAGAAGGTTCAGGACATATCTATGGACAACTATATGGACCTGATTGGGCACCAAGCTGGCGTGAACCCTGCATTGGGCATCTCCACAGGCCAATGGCGTAGCAGAAGATTCCCCCCCCCTCCAAAAAAAGAGAAGTGACTTTGGAGTGACACTTTAGGGAGAGGACAACGTGGCCTTGTGAAGACCACCACCCAACCTAACCCAATGGGGAAACAAAGCCGGGAAGGTGAGTGGAGGCAGGGGGGTGTGGCCTCCAGAGCTCTGCCCACTTCTGCCATGACCTCACTTCCTCAGCCTTGTTCCTATACAAACCTGGGGGGAGGAGGCAGGGGGAGTCAAGCTTGAGGAGTTGGGACCCAGATGCCTGGGTTCTCTCCAGCTCTGAGAGGGGGCTGGGGGGACCCCACCTAATGAGACACGATAGGGAAGAAGGGTGGAGGGTCCTCAACCAGCAAGCCCCACCCCCAACCCGTGAGCTCGTGTCCCAGGTCTGTGGCACCCCCTGTTGGCAGGGAGCACTGCGGAGGGGCTGTCCAGTGGGATCTGGAGCTTGCACACGAGTGTGCACACATGTGTAGACATGGGCACCCGCGCTGGCAGGGGAATGCACACATACCCACACATGACCTACATGCCTAAGTCCAGGTACATATGCTTGTATGGACTCACACACGCATGCTTGAACACGGGGTGTACACTTGTGTATGAGCACAGGCACACACACATGTGGACTTCTGTGCTTTCACCTGAGTGCACACCTGTGAACATACATGAGCCTACATGCTTTAACGTGAGCACACAGACTGGCATGTGGAGACACCCGTGTGAACTCACATGTTTTAACATGGGCACATGTATGTGAGCACATGCGCGAACCTATGCGCTTTAACTGAGTGCATAGACTTGAATGTGAAGACACGTGTGTGTGAACTTTCATGCTTTAACATGGGCACATGTGTGAACACATGTGAACCTACATGCTTTAACATGGGAACACAGATTGGCATGTGATAACACACGTGAACTCTCAGGCTTTAACATAGGTACATGTGTGCGAGCACACATGCAAACCTACATGCCTTAATGTGACCACACAGACCAGCACATGAAGACACATGCATGTGAACTCACACGCTTTAACACAGGCACACAGATTTGCACATGAACACACATACATACACATGTGAGCTCACACACTTAACGTGGGTGCACACACTTGTGCATGAACATGCACATGAATTCACATGGGCACACAGACTTGCAGGTAAACATGCTTATGTGAATGCACATGCTTTAACATGGAGGCACACCCTTGCATGTGAACACACACACACACACACAAACGTGAAAGCCTATGGTCAGGAACACATGCAACTGCACAAGGGCACCCACAGGTGGAGGCACCCTCGTGTGACACAGACATCCACACATCTGCATGCCTGCGTGCAGAGGAGGGGGTGTGGATGTGTCCATGCACACGCATGTGCCCAGCTCAGCAGGCGCCAGTGTAGGGCCCGGCCAGGACCTGGTACCGGACCTTGGTGTTGGTGACGGCCCCATGCTTCTGGCGCAGGTGCAAGCGCAGCTGGCTCTTGTGGCGGAAGTGCAGCTGACACGGCTCGCACTGGGGGGGGCAAGGGGCAGGGTCAGCACTTGTTTCCGCCCCCCTCAGAGCTGGGGCGAGAGTCCAGGCCTGCTCCAGACACTCACCTGATAGGGCTTCTCCCCCGTGTGGATGCGGATGTGGCTCTTAAGGGTCTGGAGGTGCCGGAAACGGGTCCCACATGTCTTGCACGGGTACGGCTTCTCCCCAGTGTGAATGAGGATGTGGGCACGGAGGTGAGCCACCTGCGGGGGCAGAGCCAGGGATGGGGTCAGTGCCTAGCCCCTCCCCTGCTCACCAGGGCATGCCACTGCCCATTGGAGGTCATGGGAGAGGGGGGCAGTAACTCCCAGGGCCACTAGAGGCCTCCGTTTAGGTCTAGAGGGATTCCACTGCCACCACCAATGTAGGCTGCATCCCCAGCCCCGCCCTGCCTTGCTTTGGCCCCGACTCTCCACCCGCGACAGGCCCTGGCTCACCCATGGGACCTAGATGACAGAACTTCACATGGCCACTAGAGGTCTCCATTGAGGTTAATGGAAATCCCAAGTGATCCCACTGCTACAACCAATGTAGGCCACATCCCTAGCCCCACCCCACGCATGTTTGTCCCTGCCCCTCCACCCCTGCTAGGCCACACCCACACCCCGTGGGACCTGGATGACAGTAACTCACATGGCCACTAGGGGCCTCCACTGAGGTCAATGGAGAGCCCGAGGAATCCCACTTCGACTGCCAAGGTAGGCTGCATCCCTAGCCCTGCCCTGCCCTGCCCTGCCCAGGGGGGGCCCCCCCCCCCCGGGACCTGGACAAAGCTGGAGCTGCAGGTGTCGCACTTGTAGGGCTTCTCCCCTGAGTGGATGCGGGCATGGGTCTTCAGGTTGGCTGGACGGTTGAAATGGGCCCCACAAACCCCGCAGCAATACGGCTTCTCCCCTGGAGGGGGAAAGGGCTAGTGAGGGAGAGCCCAGGCATCCAAGCTTCCAACCCCCCCTGCTCTCATGCCCCAGTCCCTACACCCCTCCCAGAGAACCCAGGCATCCAGGAGGCCCCACCCCCTGCCTGGCCCCGTACCAGTGTGGATGGTGTGGTGGGAGGCCAAGTTGCCCTTGTAGCGGAAGGCGGACTGGCACAGCTGGCACTTAAAGGGTTTCTCGAGGGGCCTGGTGCCCCCAGCCTCAGCCCCACCGCCGTATGGACCGGGCCCTGGGGACGAGGCAAGGAAGTTAGGCCTGGGGAGGGGGTGGAGCAAGCCCCGCCCCCTTTCTGCCTTGTGTGGGCCTAGCCATGCCCTTTTCTGCCATGTACAGGGCCAGCCATGCCCTGTGTTTGAGCCAGGCCACGCCCCCTCCTGCCATGTATGGGATGAGCCACACCCCTCTTTGCATGTGTTGGGCTAGCCACACCCTTCTGCCATATGTGGCCCTGGCCATACCCCATTCTGCTATGTATGAGACCAAACATGCCATGTATGGACCAGGTCACCCCACTTTCTGTCATGTGTGGGACAGGCCACACCCTTTTATGCCATGTGTGGGCCCCCCCTCCCTGTGTATGGGCCCACCCCGGTCCCCTTCTTTCATATATGGGCCCAGCCCTGTCCTCTCCTATATAGGACCTGGCCCTGCCCTCTCCTGACATACATAGCCCTGACCACACCTGCATATATGGGTCTAGCCTCTCTCCGGCCCCCCTCAACTTACCTGCTGGGGGCTGGGGAGCCCCAGGGAGGCCATGGGGGCAGAGCAGGGAGGCAGGCGAAGGGGAGTGGAGCCTGGGGGGCAGACAAGATGGGGGTGGGGCTAGACTGGGGGCAGAACCCTCCTCACCCCATCCCCTGCCCATATATGGGGCTGGCATGCCCCCCCCCCCATATGGCATGGTGCCTTGGCTGCCATGCCCATAAATGGGCCCAGTGCCCCACCACTGCCCATATAAGGACTCCTTCCCCTGTCCCTAGCTGACCCTGCCCCTTCCCATATATGGACTGCTGCTGCTTCCCTGCCCTTATATGCCTTAGTGTCTCTCTCCCTAGCCCCTCCATATATGTAGTTCTGCCCTTCCCCTCCCCTTATATGGCTCTGCTCCTTCCCATATATGGACCTCTGTCACTCTCCTGCCCCAATATGGCCCCACCATTTCTCATATATGGACCACTGCCCCACCTCTGCCCTCACATGGCCCTGCCCCTTCCCATATATGGACCACTGCCAGTCCCATACCCCTATATGGCCCCACCCCTTCCCATATATGGACTGCTGTCCCTCCTCTGCCTTTATATGGCCTAGCTCATATACTGACCAACTGGGGGTCTCCTCTCCAGGCCCCACCTCCCCCTGCAGTCCAGGGGGGGCAGGGCCTGGAGAAGGGGCAGGACCTGGAGCAGGGCCCGGGGGGTCCAGGCTCCCCCCCCGCTGGGCTGGGAGTACGATGAACTTGTACTTCTTCCAATTGCAGGCGCGGGGTGAGGGGGGGCCCCCAGTGCTGGAGCCACGGGGGGACCCTGGCTGGGCCCCCTCCCCCCGCGCCGGGCTCTCAGGTGTCCCCAGTGGGAACCCCTCACCCTCTTGCTCCCCCAGCCCAGGATCCAGGAGGGGGCTGGGTGGGGAAGCAGTTGGGTGGACCAAGCTGCAGGAAAAGAGACACCTGGATCAGGCCTGGATCGGGACCCCTGCCCTCCCCTGCTGAGGATTGGGGCCCCCTGGTCTCCAGGCCGGGGCTTTCCTGCTCCCCAGTATTGGGCCTGGATCTAGTCCCCTCTTCCCCAGCCAAAGCCCCTCCCACCATGACTGGGCCCCCCCCCGTGGCTTCTCCTACCCCAATCAAACCTGCCCTTGGCCCAGGATTGGGGCCTCCTCCTCTCAGCCCAGCTTCCCCCCACTACCCAACCCTCTACACTACCCAAAACCCCCCTCCTCTGCCAGGATCAGGTCAGGATCAGGGCCCCCACCCCCTGCCCCACCTGGGCCGTGACCCCCTTCTCCACTCCTCCTCCCAGGATGGGGCCCAGATCGGACCCCTTCCCTCATGCCACCCAGCCCGTGACTTCCCTCCTCTCCTCCCAGGATTGGGCCTGGATCGGCCCCCCCTCCCCTACCAGGACCAGGGCCTCCCCCAACCAGTGACCCCTAACCTCTGCTCCCAGGACCAGGGCCCAGCTCCCCTCCCAATATCAGTGCCCCCCCCCACCACACAACCAATGACCTCTCTCCTTCCAGCATCAGGCCTGTATGTGGACCACCCCTTACCCTACCAGGATGAGGCCAGGAATAGGGCCCCATACCCAGCCAGTGACACCTCCCCTGTGATCCCAGGATTGGGCCCAGATTGGGGCCCCCCCCACTCCCCTCACTCTCCACTCCACCCGTACCTGGTGGCCAGGAAGCTGCGGACGGCCTGGGCCACGTGCTCCATCTGCAGGTAGGTGGCGGCACTGAGTACGGCGGGGGCAGAGGCAGGGGTGAGGGGTAGGTGGGCCGTGTACATGAAGTCCAGCAGGGCCTGGACCCCAGCAGGGGGCAGCATGCCAGGCAGGGGCAGCACACCCAGCTCCTGGCCCCCCGGGCCCGCGAAGGCTGAGTAGAAGAAGCCGCTGGTGGCCCAGCCCAGGAGAGAAGGGGTTAATCTGTGGGGTGGGGCATAGAGGAAGCCCTGCCCCCAAGAGGGTAGTTTGGACCCACCCTGGGAGAGAAAGGGTTAATGCCTGGGGAGGGCTTGGCTCACCCCCCAGTCCAGGAAGGGAGGGGTTAATCCTAGGGGGTGGGGCATAGGGGAAGCCCCATCCCCAAGAGCCTGGTCCCACCCCTTGGTCCATGAGAGAAGGGGTTAATATGTGTGGGATGGAGCATAGAGGAAGCCCAAGGGCTGGGCCCCACCACCCAGTCCAGGAGAGAAGGGCTTAATATGAAGCCCCATCCACTGGAGTCCCGCCCCCATTGCTGTGGCCACACCCCATCCATGAGCCTGCCCCCATCAGCTGGAGCTGTGCCCTGCTGCAGCCAGGATGTTCCATCCCCATCCTGTAGTTGTGCCCCTGCATCTCTGTAGGCCCACCCCCCGCCCTGTGGCCCTGCCTCCTCCATGTGCCTCCACCTCTTCCCACCACAGGTGGCCACGCCCCCACCCCGGGACCCCGTCCACATCCAGGAGGTTCTGCCCCCAATGTAGCCCTGCCCCTTCCCATAGGTCCACCCCTCACTCTGGCCCCACCCGCTCAATGTAGCTCCACCCCTACCATCCCCACTACCCTAGTAGCCAAGCCCTGTCTTCACAAGCCACAGCCCTGTCCCAGTGGCCACACCCCTATCCCTATACAGCTCCACCCAGTCTCAAGCCTCACCCCATCCCAGAGACCCCACCCCTTCCCTATTAGCTCCATTCCTGTCCTCATAATCCCCACCCTTTCCTCGTTGGTGCACACCTATTAGCCATGCCCTATCTCCATAAGCCATGCCCCTTCCCCGTTAGCTCCTCCCCTGTCCCCATAACCCTCACCACTTCCTCATTGGCCACGCCCTGTCCCCATAAACCCTGCCCCTTCCCTATTAGCCCATAGGCCCCACCCCACAGGCCTCACTGCGCACTATAGGCCACATCTCCACCCCCAGAGGCCCCGCCCCTGCCCCAGAGGTCCCACCCCTCACCTGCAGGCAGCCAGCATGGCCTTGTGGGCAGGCAGGGGCCGGCCCTGCAGCACCAGGGTGATGTCAGTCAGCACCCTGCGCCGCCGCAGCTCCGCCAGGTTGCGCAGCACGTCGCCCGCGTGGCGCGTGAACTCCCGCACGCAGCCCAGCCCTGCCCCCTGGGCCACAGGCCCCGCCCCCTGCTGCAGCATGGCCCTGCCAGGGTTAAGGGCAGGATCAAGGGAGGTGACAAAGCCCCCCTGGGCTCCCAGCACCCCCTGCCGTCACCCACCAGGCCCCAAATTCCTCCCACAGAACCCAGGAGTCTGGGGCTCCTTAAGAGGCCCCCACCCCACTCCCAAAGAGCGCAGGCGTCCAGCCTCCCAGCCCCACCCCTCTCACCCTCCCCCCAAAAATCCTAGGTGTCTGGGCTCCCAGCCCTGTAGAAGCCCTCCACCCCACTCCCAGAGAACCCAGGCGTCCAGGCTCCCCCGCCTCCTATATCCCTCACCAGAGAGCCCAGGGGTCTAGGAATTCCAGCCCCTATAAGCCCCCAACCCCATGCCAAAAGAACCCAGGGGTCCAGGGATCCTGGCACCCTATATGCCCCCCACCTCACGCCGAAAGAACCTAGGTGTCTGGGCACCCTGTTCTAGGCCACCAACCCCACCCTCCTTCCAGAGAACTCAGGCGCCCTGCTTTAAGCACTACACCCCACTGCCCTCCCAGAGAGCCCAGGTGTCTGGGCATGGGTGTCAGCTCCCACCGGCAACCATCTGTTCTTAGGGAACCCAGGCATCTGGGATATCAGCGCCCACCCAGTCGGTTCCTCTTGCTGACGCAGCCCCCCTCCCAGTGCCCTATAACTCCCACCCCGTTCCCAAAGAAACCAAGTGTCCAGGCTCCTGGCTCCAGGCCCCAAGTCCCTCCCAGAGAAGCCAGGCGTCCGGGCTCTCAACACCCCGCAGAGAACTCGGGCATCTGTGTTCCCAGCCCCCTGTATGCCCTGCACCCTGCTCCCAGAGAATCCAGGCATCCGGGCTCCCAGCCCCTTGCTCTCACCCCCCAGCCCCCCCCACCCGAAGAACCCAGGCGTCCAGTCACTCTCACCCTCCTGCCCGCAGGACGGGGCGGGTGCAGCTGCAGCCCTCACTCAAGAGCCGGCCTCGGGGGGGCAGGCTGAGGCTCCTTATACCCAGGGGGGAGCCGGTACCCTTCCTGCTTGCTCAGCTGTGCGGGGGCAGGGAGTGGGGGGGGGGCGCTATTTTTAGCTGCTTCAGGAAAGAGACAGGACAACTCCAGGATTCGGGAGGGAACCCAGGCATCCGGGGGCCCCCACCACCACCTCAGCAGGCCGCCAGCCACACCCCTTCCTGAGCTGGGGAGAATCCAGGCATCCGGGCTCCCCTGGAGTCCAGGCCCAGAGAACCCAGGTGTCCAGGGTCCCGGCCCCCAACCTGCCACACTGCTCCCCCACACAGGGACCCCAGGAGTCCCAGCTCCCTCAGCCCAGCTCCCCACAGACAACCCAGGCATCTGGGCTCCTGCGTCCCCCTGTTGTCACCCCCCACCTTTCACTTCCCAGAGAACCCAGGTGTCCGGGTGGAGGTGGGTGACATCACTCAGCTGTTTCCTTCCATTGTCCCCTGGTCAGACTGGAGGGGGGGCAGGAAATGAGGGGGGTCCCTGTTATACTCAGCTGGGCCCCACCCCAGAGCTGGCTGCATCTGAATGCTAAGCAGGGGGGACCGAGGTCAGGGGGTGGATGCAAAACCAGGGGTGCTAGGTAGGGAGGGCCAAGGTCGGGGTGGATGGGAGACCAGGGTGCTAAGCAGGGGGGGGCTGAGGTTGGAGAGTGGATGGGATACTGGTGGTGCTGATCAGGGAGGGCCAAGGTCAGGGGTGTCTGGAAGACCAGGGGTGCTAAGCAGGGAGGGCTGAGGTCGAGGAAAGGCAGGCTGAGGGTGCTACCCTGCTGAGTGGAAGAGGGCAGGCCCTAGAGGGAGGGGGTGGGGCTAGATCAGGGTCAGCCATAGACCTTGCCCCCTCTGGAACCCGTGTGTCCCAGAGGATGGGGGTGGGGGGAAAGGACCCAGGCATCTGGGGAGGGGGTTAGAGTAGGGCACCCAGGAGTTGGAAAAGGGACCCATGCGTCTGATTATCCAGATACCTACCGGGAGGTGGGCCCAGCTCCTCATGTACGTCCAGGGGCTGAAAATATGGGTAGTCCTTTGCCATGGCCTGGGGAGGGGGAAGGGATGGGTTAGGACCCCCCTCCCGCAGAGAACCCAGAGGTTTGGCTCCCAACACCACCTGTTTCCATCCCTGAACCCCCACAGAGAACCCAGGTGTCCGGGCTCCCAGACCCCTCCTCTCACCCACCAGGCTCCACTGCCCTCCCAGAGAGCCCAGGTGTCTGGGCATGGGTGCCAGCTCCCACCGGCAACCATCTGTTCTTAGGGAACCCAGGTGTCCCGGATATCAACACCCACCCAGCTGGTTCCTCTTGCTGACACAACCCCCCTCCAGAATTAGCTGAGCAGGCAGGGGTGGGGCCAAGGCCAGCGGGGGAGACCAGGATCATCTGCAGCCCCCTCAGTGCATTGATCCGTCTGCCCTCCACCCCCACCCCATGTGCACCCTCCATCCATGTATCTGTCCATCCATTCCTCTGCTCCCTCTAGCCAGCCATTTTACACCTTCTAGCTATCCATCTATACACCTGCTGCATCCATCCATCCATCTGTCCATGCCCACACACTCCTTCATCCAGTCATCATCTGTCCGTCCATCCCTCCATCAATACATGGATCCATCCATACACACCATCCATCCCTCCGCACCCTCTGTCTCTCCATCCATCCTCCTATCCCTCCATCCCCCATCCATCTAGGTCTCTACTCATCCATCCACAGACACCCTCCTTCCCTTTCTCCATCCATCCCTCCACTCCTCCATCTCCATATCCATCTGGCCATCTCTCCATCCATCCATCCAGACCACGCAGCCATCCAACCCTTGATCAGTCCCTCCAGCCAAAGGCCCATTTTACTCTCTCCATCCATCCATCCACACGCCGTGTCCATTTATCTACCTATGCACTCACTCCACACCCTCCAGCTATCCATCTGTCTATTCACCTGTCTATCCATCCACACACATGCTGCATCCATCCATTCCCTCCCCATCTGTTTATCCATCCTTCCATCTATTGGCACATCTATTATCTATCCATCCATCCACCTACCCGTCCACCCACCAACCCAACGCCCCACCCATGGATCCCTCTATCCATCACCACACATTCCTGTCCATCGCCCACACCCAGCACAGGGCCCAGCGGGGGTGGGGGGGTGGGGAGGAGAACTACCTTGCAGCCAACCCACCCCCCTGCCAGAGGACCCAGCGAGCTGGGGCTGGGGCTGAATTGAGCAAGGGGACACAGGGAGCTTTTTACCAAAACACCCTTTAATTCCCTCAGAAAAATCACAGGTGGGGGGAGGGGCAACACACAGGGAAGGGCAGGGGAAGGCTCCCCCCACCCAGACCAGTTTAGGGAAACCCAACAGGGACAGACCGTAGGGAGGCGGGGCTTCTTGGGGGGGCTGGGCTGGGCCCCTAGAAGCCCCGCCCCCTGCAACATCATCACCACAGGGGTGTCCTGGCCCCGCCCCCTGTGATACCAGCACTCCCAGTTGGATGAGGGGAGGAGTCAGAAGGCGACACAATAAGGGAGGGGAGGGCCAGGGGGCGGGACTAAGAGGATGGCTGCCGAGAGGGCGGGGCTCCAAGGGCAGCCTGACAAGGGGATGTGGGTCGGGAGTGAGGGGCGCCAGTGGAGTGGGGACTTGCCTCCCACGACGTCAGCAGCCCACACTCCTTGGGGGTGAGGACCGAGGCGTCCGGCCGGGGTGCTAAGCAGCGGAGGCCGAGGTCGGGGGCTGGATGGAGACCGGAGCTGCTTCCGTCTGGCCCGGACACCTGGATTCAGTGCCTGTGACATCATGGCGGGTGTCTCCCTGCCTACATCACGGGGAGAGCATCCCCCGCCCGGACGCCCCGGGATCCCCCCATCCCAGAGCTGCAAGGAACCCGGGCGCCCAAACCCCTGCGTGGGGAAAGGACCGGCTGAGAGAGGAGCCCGCACCCCCGGGTCCCCCCGTCCCTCAACTGCCCCAGAGCTCCGGGCCCCTTTAAGACTCCAAATCTCCGGGGCTGCTTCTGTGTGGACAGCGGCAGGGGCCCGATCCCGGCTGGGTGCGGGGGGCGTCTGGGCTCCCTGCCCTGGGGGGGGTTCCTTCCCCCTCCCCACCGGAAGTGGCCGGAATTCCCAGCCCCCCACGTGACCCTTGGAATGCTGTGACGTCACGGAAAGTGGGGGGGGTCCATTGACCAAAACCTGCTTTGAACACCCCCCCCACCCCTCTCAAAGAGCCCAGGAATTCAGACTCCCAGCCTCCGCCCCATAACCCCCTCCCACAACCCTCCCAGAGACCCCAGGCATCCAGGCTTTAACCCCCTCCATTTCCAACAGGCCTCCTGTGATGTCTGGGCCCACTTGGCTGCCTCCAAAGCTAGCAGGGGGCTCCCCACAACCCCCCAGGACAGTCCCCACTGGCCCCCTGGAGACCAATGGTAACCCTCCTCCTAAGTGCCCCGGGGGGGCAGATCTGGGGGGATCGACTAAGGTAATTGTCCCCTTCTTTTTCCAGGTACCCCGGCCCCTGAGGGCCCCAATCCACGCTACCCAGAAGTCCCCAGGGCTGGACGGATTGGATACACCATGCAAGTAAGCTGTGGGGGGTGGGGTGGAGAGGATGGGGTGGAGGCCCTTCCCTTCCCACATTGCACTTCTTCGAATCCCACCCCAGGGCTCCACCCCGGACCGGGGCGCCAGCATTGACTCCCAGATCGACTCGCTCACCACCATGTTGGCTGACCTGGAGAGCGCGGCACCCTCCCACTGGGGTGGGGCCAGGCAGGTACAGACCCTACTGGATGGTGGTGGGGTGGGGGAGAGGAAAAGACTCCTCCACTTCGGGGGAGGGGGGAAGGGGAGGAGCTAATAGGACCCACACCACTGCCAAGGCCAACTCAACTCCGTCCTTCTACCTGCTGTGTGGGGGGTGGGGGTAGGTACTGGCAACACCGGTACCTTGGGCACCCAGGAGCCCACAGTTGGCACTGCTGAAAAGCATAGCCCATCCCTATCAGGCAGCGCCTCCTGTGACTTCCTTCTGTGCTCCAGTGCTAAGATACAGCTGCTTAAAAAAACCCATTGGAGGCAAAGGGAGAGGCCACAATTGCAATTGCTTTGTCACAATATATCATGATAGGAGGCTCATCAAGATGTGATCTTGGTGCCATTGGGAAGCCCTGGAGTTTAGCTTTCCAACACCACCAGGTTCATGGCTCTAGCCTCCACAGTTGGGGAGATTATTGCCAGGTCCATGATGCTGCCTGGAGGTTGTTCATATTTACCATTGGCTGTTGGTGGCCCTGTTGGAGGGCTCTTGAGTGCTTTGGGGGGGTTCGGGGGGGGTGGAATATCAAGGGTGAGGACCCCAAAAGGGGATGAGGGGACTCCTATGATTCCACTAGGACCCCCCCTCTCATCTCTACCTCCCATCTTCTCTCTCCAGAATTATGACCTCAGTGCGTACAGGCCCAGCAATGCCAAGATGTCCGGGTCATTGACCATTGGGGAGGTGCCCCCTGCCTATGGGGCAGGGGCACCACGGAGGTACCCTCAGCCCACCCCGGCATCCTACGCTACAGCCTTGACCCCCTTGAGCCCTGCCTTCAATGTCCAAGTCAAGGTGGCCCAACCCGTGCCGGGCTACAGTCGGCCCCAGCACCGGGCTGACGCACCTCCCCTGGCCAGCAGGGGGCAGGAGACCCCCAGGGGGTGGAGCCCAGGGCCCAGGGCCCCATATCTGTGCAAAGAGGATTGTGCTGGACCCATCAAGGCGCCCCTTGGTGGTGGGGGAAGCTACCAGCAGCAGGTAAGAGAGGAAGTGGGGGGTCCAGACGCTTGGGTTCTCTGGGAGGGCTCTGGGGGCTGAGACCAGGGGATTCTGGGAGCCTGGATGCCTGGGTTCTCTGCCCCCCAGGTGCCCCTCCCTTGCCCTGAGGATGAGCTGGACCGCCTCACCAAGAAGCTGGTCCAGGACATGCAGAACCCACCACCGGGGGAGTACTTTGGTGAGGGGCGGGGCCTCTGGGAGGGACCTCTGGGAGGGGGCAGGGCCATGCCTGGGTCCTCACTCTCCCTCCCGCCCCCCCTGCAGGGCGCTGCGGGACCTGTGGGGGGGCAGTGCAGGGGGCAGGGGCTGGCGTGGCTGCCCTGGGCCGCCTCTTCCATGCCACCTGCTTTGTCTGCGTGTCCTGCCGCCGGCCCCTACGTGGCCTCCTCTTCTATGCCCTGGACCGGCGCCCACACTGCGAGGCCTGCTATGCGGTGAGTGGGGCGCAGGTCCACCCAGGGGTGCTGGGCTCTCTGCTGCGGAAATGGGCCCACCTGGGGGATGAGCCCACCCCAGGATGCTGGGTCCCTGCTGCAGAGACAAGGAGCCTGGATGTCTGGGGAGTGAGGGCTGGTAGGATGCAAGCAGGGGGAACTGAGTTCTCTCCTAGTGCTGCCTGTAGGCAGGGTGGGGAATGTGGGGGGACGGGCCCTGGCCTGACCCCACCACCCCGCCCCAGTTGACCCTGGAGAAGTGCTCAACATGCTCACAGCCCATTCTGGACCGGATCCTGCGAGCAATGGGCAAAGCCTTCCACCCACGCTGCTTCACCTGCGTTGTCTGTCGCCGTGGCCTGGATGGCGTTGCCTTCACCGTGGATGCCACCAGCCAGGTGCACTGCCTGGCCGACTTCCACCGGTGGGTGAGGCCCCATGTGCCCTGACCCTCACTGCAAACCTGCAGCCGGTCCTGGCTCCCCAGTGCCCCTCACTCCCGACCTGCAGCCCCTCTGGCGCGTCAGTGCTCCTCACTCCCAGCCTTCTGCACCCCAAGCCCGGCAAGTGCCCCTCACTCTCAACCCGCAGCCCCTGCCTCTCCCAGCCCTGCTGGTGCCCTTCACTCCTAAACACCCCCCTGGCCTTCTGGTGCCCCTCAGTCCTGACCCACAGCCCC